CTCCATCGCCAAACAATTATCTTTTTTACCACTGTCGTCTGCCGACTACGATCCTTCAGATCTACATCACTAGACAACAATCTTTTTGACCATTAGCGTTCACCTACTATGGTCCTTCAAATCTACGTCGCCATACAACGGTCGTTCTAACCACTATTTCCCATGGTAGTAGAGGATTGATTGATAAGACTAGATAAGATATTTGATAGTATGTAGTGTTATTATATGTGTAATTTATAAATTAATAATTTTTCTATTAGATGGTGGGTAGAGTGCTGGTGGATGAGTAAATATGAAGAAAAATTTTAAGAGAGATTGAACTATTTTCTTAGTTGGCATGAGTTTTTTAAGACATTTTGAGACTAGTTTGTACCACATTCTACACATCAGTAGATATAGGAGATTTTTTAAGATTGGTTCAGGAGAACATAATAGTTATGCAATACGAGGCAAAATTTATCGTGTTAGCCAGATATGATCTATAATTGGTTAGCACTCTTAAGAATAATTTGCATAAGTTTTTGAGAGAACTCTAAGATAGTTTGAGATAGCCACTAGTCTAATATTATATCTCTAATTTCTCTAAGCTTGTAGAGAGAACTCATTTGATTGAGAATGATTTGATAGCTACGCAATAGTTGTGGACTACTAGTAGAAAAAGATTTGGTGGCAGGATTTTTGGTAGTGAATTTTCTGGAAAGAAGAGCATGTTTGGACCAAGAGAGTTTAGGAGAGGGGGGCATTATGTAGCAATTTATAGTAGTGGTAGCGTAGTTAGTTTTTATTCTATCAGTAGATCACATGTGGGTCATAGTTATGGAAGATGACATTATATGCAGCGTTATATGATGAATGGACAATATTTTCAATATGGTCAGATTAGACATAGAGTAGCTGAGTATCCATAGATTGGATTTTACTGATGATATGAGCCCAGATCTGAGAGTTTTATTAGGCCACTAGGGAGACCAAGTACTTTATACTCTTCTTGAGAGATCTTCTGGTAGAGGTAGTGATTCTGGTTATGTGGTAGGTTCTGTAGTGGGGAGACCATCTTGTATATAGTGGTCAGATAGTGCCTCGTAGTTCTGTTACGCTAGCTTTAATTCAGGCTGGCATTTATGATTAATAGGAGGCTCGAGATGCTCCATATATTATGACTAATATGACTTACATTTTTGGTTAGTCATGTCATATTTTATTTGATTATGGAGTTAGTAATTCATTTTTTAACATTATTTTGATTTACTACAATTGCATTCATTTTTACTATCTTTTTCTCTATATGTTACTTTATTGACTAGAAAGGGATGATAACTAGTAGGATTTGTTTATATTATATAGAGATATCTAACAAAAAATTGAGATCTAGTTTATTTTTTTACCCTTTTAGAGTTAGAAATTATTTTGGGTATGGATTGGTTGAGTCGCTATAAGACTCAAATTAATTATTTGAAGAAACGAGTCACCTTATTTCTGGGAAACGAGGGTATTTATTCATGGTGTTGAAGGAGTTTGTCACATCTGGTCTCTTTTATGAAAGTGAATGTATTGCAAAAAAAGAGTTGTAGGTTATTTTTGACATTATAAAGGGATAATATAATAATGTATGGATCTATTTCTGATATTCCAATAGTGTGAGAGTTTATCAATGTATTCCCTATTGAGTTAATCAATTTTCCTCCGAATAAGGATAATGAGTTTTGTATTGATGTATTTTTAGGTACAACCCTAATATTTAAAGCTTAGTATAGAAAGACACCCAAAAAACTTCAAGAGTTGAAGATGCAACTTTAGAAGTTGGTTGATATGAGATTTTTCCATCCTAGTGTGTCTTCATGGGGAACATTTATTTTGTTTGTAAAGAAAAAGGATGGTATGATGTATATGTATATTGATTATAAAGATTTAAATAAATTCACTATTAAGAATAAGTATACTCTGCTAAGAATTGATGATTTATTTGGTTATTTTGCAAGATCTATATTTTATAAGATCAATTTAAGATTTATATATTATCAGGTGAAGATAAGAGAGATTGATGTTATTAAGACTACTTTCAGTACTACATACGATATTATGAGTTCTTAGTCTTGCCATTTGGTATGACTAATGCACAATACATTTTTATGGATTTGATGTGCATGGTGTTCATAGATTTCTTAGATCAGTTTGTGATTGCCTTTATATAATATATTTTGGTTTCTTGAGCTTCTGAGAAGGATCATGCACATTTGAGGATCATTTTGGAGACTCTGAGACAGTATTAGTTATATGTTAAGTTCTTTAAGTGTGACTTATAGCTGAAGAGTATTTCTTTTTTGGGGTATGTAGTGAGTAGCATAAGTATTTTTGTAGATCCTCAAAAAGTTCAAGCATTTGTTGATTGATCGATGCCTACTATAGTATCTCAGGTATACAGTTTCTTGGGCATGAATAATTATTAAAGGAAGTTTGTGAAAAGATTCTCTCAAATTTCTACACATCTGATGAGACTGAATAAAGTCAGTTGTTTTTGTTTGGAGACCTGATTAAGGGGCTAGTTTCCAAAAACTAAAGAACTGTTTGAATTCTGCTCCAATTTTGACTCTTTCATATGACACGAATGAATTTCAGGTGTTCATTGATGCTTCTCTAAGAGGATTGGAATGTGTCTTGATGCAGCACGATAATGTTATATCTTAGGCCTCTAAGCAGTTGGAGCCATATGAAAGGAACTATCCAACACATAATTTGGAGATCTCGAATTATTTTTTCCTTGAAGATCTAGAGATATTATTTGTATGAAGTCAAGTGTGATATCTTTATTGTTCAACAAAGTTTAAAGTATATGTTTGAGACAAAGAAGTGGCTTGAGTTGATTAAATATTATGATTTGACCATTTAATATCATCCTGGAAAACCTAATGTTGCGAAAGATAGTATAAGCAGAAAATCTTCTAGACTATCATAAATTCAGCATACTTTTGATGATATATGATTCATGATATAGAAAAGCTACAATTGGAAATGATTTCTCATATTGATATAGATTTTTGTGTTTAGACTCGGATGATCATCCAACCCTCTTTACAAGAAATGATTCAAAAAATTTAAAGATCAGATGAAGAATATTTAAAGATGATTGATCAAATCAAATTGAGTAAGAAATATGAAATGTGAGTATCTAATTTTGGTATTATTTTTTATAGAAACAGATTGTGGGTACCGAGTTCTTTATAATTGATGTAAGAGATTCCGCGTGACGCTCATTATATAGGTTATACTATTCATCCAAAAAGCAATAAAATATTTAGTGATTTGGAATGTTTATTCTGGTGGCTTGGATTAAAGATGGATGTTTCATATTTTGTTTCTGAATATAAAGCCTATTAGTTAGTGAAAGCATAATATCAACAATGAGGAGGTTTTTAGTGGAAGTGGAAAGAGATTACGATGGATTTTGCTATGAGTTTTTCCAGGTCGAGACATGGACTTAATCCCATTTGGGTTATAATGAAGCGTATGACAAATTATGCTAATTTCATTCTGATTTGACAGTATCATTTAGTTGATCGGTTGACGTAGGTACGCATATGTACGTGAAATTATCCAATTGCATGGGATACCAAATATTATATTTTCTAGCATAGATAAAAGATTTACTTCCAAACTGTCGAGTAGCAAGGTTTGGGCACGAAATTACATTTTAAGTACAAATTTTTTTCTTAGATTGATGGACAGTCTGAGAGGGTTATACATGTACTAAAAGATCTTCTATGATTATGTGTTATAGATTTTGGTGGAAGTTGGGAAATCTCGTCCTTATGATCAAATTTGTTTATAATAATAGTTTTCAATTGAGCATATGTATGACCCCTTACGATGCTCTTTATGGTAGCAAATGTAGGACATCTTTATCATTCACAGAGGTGGGCGAAAGAAATTTGATTGGGTCAAGTTTAATTGATGATGTTATTGAAAATATTCGTTTGATTAAAGACAAACTAAAATTTGTTCAAGACAAAACATTATTTTGATGCTAAGCAACGAGCTATAGATTTTCTTATTGAAGATTTTGTATATGTGAAAATCAGGCTTATGGAGGGCATCAACAGGTTTGGCCAGAAAGGTAAGTTAAGTCCAAGGTATGTAAGACCTTTTGAAGTTATTAAAAGGATTGAAAATGCCAATTTAAGCTTTATATATAATTTAGATTAAATAAAAGGAAATGATAAAATAAATAATGGTGGATAACTGTCATGAGAATATTCACTGTATTTGCATCTTGTTTCTATTGAACCTAGATTTAAAGTAAAAAAGGCATGCTAAAATTACAAAAAGCAAAGAGTTTCATAAGAAAAATAGGAGCCATTAAATTTTACCAACAAAAATTTAAAATGACAAAAAAAACTAAAACACAAGGTATAGATTTCTCATATAGAAATACATTCATATGTGATAAACTATTATTATCATCCATATTTAGAAAAGAAAGAAACTCTCAACAATTTAATTATAATTCATAGATATATAAATTTATTAATTAATTTTTTTAAAAAAAGATATTACAACAACAACAACAACATCAAGCCTTTATCCCACTACGTGGGGTCGGCTACATGAATCCTTTTTCTCCATTGTGTTCTATTAAAAGTCAAATTCTCATTTAAACCTAATAAAGAATTATATCATATTATATTATATTGATAAGAATTATACTATACTTACTTAAAATTTATTGAATTTATTTTTAATTAATATAATATAATTTTTTTATAAATATAATATTAATTTTAAATAAATTTTAAATTTATGTTAATATAATTTATATTAAAATATGCTGATTTAATTTTTAAATAAATTAATTATGAAATGTTAGAGTATTTGTTTTTCCTTTAGTATTTATAATTTTTTCTAAAAAGTCCAATAATCAGATGCCATTTTCGTAATAATATCAAAAATCAGCCTTTATTCCATAGTATACAAAATTCTTCATCTCTGAGTCTCCGCCCTCAGTCCCCAAATCCTAAGGGACGGCCCCTTCTCTCTCTGTCCTCCCTCGCCGATTCCCCAACTACTCCAATCCCATCAGAACCCTGTATAATGACCTCCGTCACCGCCAGCTTCGTCCTCCGGCGCGCCACCGCCTTCCTCGAGGACGCCCTCTCCAACCTCGAGGTCCGCCGCCGCGCCCTTACAGCCGCCCGCCGCCGCCTCTCCTCCCCCGCTGATCCCTCTACCCTGCACGCCCTCTCCCTCCTCTCCGAAACCCTAGACCCCTCGGCAGCCGCCGCCACCTCTGCCGCCTATGCCGCCGCCGCCGCTGCCAATCCATCCTCCCTCTCCGCCCTCCTCCTCGCCATATCCCTCGCTCTCCGCCGCCGCCATGCCGACGCCGCACGCGCTCTCATCGACGTCTTCGTCCTCGATCCAGCAGCCGCCCGCGCCGACATCGCACCGGAGCTCTTCGAAGAGCTCTTCCTACCACACTTGTTCCCGGCGGTGCGATGGTTCGCGGAGCGGCGATCAAGGATTCTCTCATCGATGGAGGAAGGGAGGCCGGCGGCGGCAGCGATGACGTCGCTGTCGAGGATGAGTGACGGGCAGGCGGCTGATCTCCGGGAGCTCGAGAACACGTATGAGGGGGTGATGGATGAGAATTCCAAGGTTTATGCTGGGTACCTAAAGGAACTTCTGAAATCGGGGGATGGGATAAGTCCGCCGGAGTTGGTTCTCCCGACGGTTAATGGAGTGGAAGAGGACATCGACGAGATGAAGGATGAGACGATTGGTAGGGAGGAGATAGGATCGACAAATGAACACTTTAATGTGATGCTTCTCTTCATAGCTTCTTTATTTATTAATTTAGGAATCTTCCATCATTTTCTTTTTCTGATTATAGTTGGCTGATTACTCGAATTGATTTGGTTAGATTTAGATAGTTTGATTTTTATTATTTTTGTTGATAAACATTTGATGTAACTTGCAACTTCTTTTCCATCGATTAGCTTCTTCAAATTTACAGAGCCTTTGATTTCGTTGTGGCAGCCGATTTGGGCTGAAGCCGATAACTCTACAGATTTTTCTGATGGACAAATCAACAAAGGACAGTGCAGCTATACAAGGGCTCCATCCTTGTATCCTCAAAGAGTCCCTCCACAGATTTTCAGGCAACCTTCGACAAAAAGTATAGATAACAGAAGAAATATCATATCCGAAGTTGGCCAAGCATTTTCATCTGCTGAAAACTCTGATGAATCTTCTTCCGATCCTGAACCTGATATGGTAATCAAAATCTTGAAGCTGAAAATAAAATAATACTTATCTTTACTTTTCTGTGCTATCAATCTAGTTTCACGTGTTTTCTGGCCATTAAATTTCTTTCATTGTTTGTCTGCAGGAGGAAGATAAAAAGAAACCATCTTTCAAGCCCAAAATCGAATACCAGGGGCAGAAACAGACGTCTATGAACTCTACTTGGTATGTTAGGTCATTTGCCAAGTTTTACTCTCGTGATCCATGCGCCTGTTGTTATAGTGATTCAAGCATTTAGACTGTTAAGTTCACTTCGAATCTCTTTAAATGAGATTATGCTTTTGATCAGTGTAGTTTTGCAAAAAGAATTGAGTTTCATTCACTCTGACCTCTGTCTTGTCTTGTTTCAGCTCTATAGATCTTTCAATGATTGATGATGATAAATTTCTTGCTTCTAGCAACCAAGCTCCACCGAAGGATTTTGTGTGTCCCATAACCAGTAACTTATTTGATGACCCGGTAACATTGGAGACTGGACAAACATACGAGCGTAGAGCTATACAGGAATGGCTGGAGCGTGGGAATATGACATGCCCAATCACTCGGCAAAAGCTTCACAGTGCCAAATTGCCAAAAACAAATTTTGTGCTCAAAAGACTAATAGCTAGCTGGCGAGAAGAAAATGCTTATTCAATTGCAAGTCCTTCATTAAGGAGCCCTTCTCCAGAGATTACTCAACCAAATCCACCAAAGCGCTCACCTTCACCAACTAGTGTCATCACTCAAGCATGTGTTGATGGCACTACATGTGATCTACGGCTTGCCATTAATACCCTTTGTACATCCGACGTTTTGAGTGAAGCAGAGACGGCTGTCCTTCAGATAGAGCGCCTCTGGAGAGAAACTGGTGCAGAACCTCAATTGGTATCAGCACTTTCGAAACCTTCTGTGATTAATGGGTTTGTGGAGATATTATTTAACTCTATTGATCTGCAAGTTCTTAGAACATCAGTGTTCCTATTGTCTGAGCTGGCTTCAATGGATAAACTTGTTATTCAGACGCTGACTAGCGTTGATTCAGATGTGGAATGCATGGTTGCACTGTTCAAGAAAGGATTGTCAGAGGCTGTTGTGTTGATTTATTTGTTGCATCCTTCATGGGAAAGACTTCTAGAAATGGACATGGTTGAGGCCCTGCTAATGGTTTTGAAGAGCGAGGAAGATGATTCATCCAATTCATGTCTAAAGCCAAAGACTGCTTCTATTCTTCTTTTACAGCAGATTCTGGCAAGCGATGATAAAATTTCAACAGAAGTTGTTGATGCCATAATTTCTGAGGGAGTTTTTGAAAATATTATTCAGAGTTTGGCAGCTGATATGGAGGAGGTGAGGATGGCTGCAATCAGGATCATAGTGAGGTGCATGGAGGTTGATGGAAGTTGCCGGCACTTGATTGCTGGCAAAGCTAAACTGGAAATCATCTTAGAAAACTTTGCCACTGTTGGTGACATGGAACGGTTTGAGATTGTTCGCTTCCTTTTTGAATTGGTTAAATTAGACAGGTAATGTAAATTATTTTCTTTATGCTTCTTTTGAAGTAATCATTTTATTGGCTGTTCATCACATCAGCTTGTCAAAATTGCAGATTGTTTGACCTTAAGACTGCTTTTGGGATAGCTTTCTTACTGCTTTTTAAAATTATTTTATAATACAAAATTTTTTAATTTAAGAAAATTTTTATTAGAAAACTGCTTTAAGAACAGTAAGAAAGCCTTCCCAAATGAAGCCTAAATCTTATTGTTTTCCTAGTATGTATGATATGGTTGCTGATACAACTGTTTCCCTTTTTCAAGGAGGACGTATAATGAGAAGCTTCTGCACAGTATAAAAGATGGTGGTAAATTTAGCACAATGCATGCACTCGTTGTTTATTTACAGACAGCTCTACAGGATCAGTCTCCAATCATTGCCGGTCTTCTTCTTCAACTTGACATTTTGGTATTGGTCTTTTATCATGACCATCGTCCTCATCATCCTTATTACCATTGTCATCATCATCACCACCTTTTACCCTATCACCACTATTTGGAATCTAGTTAAAATTGGGACGTGCAAGTTAATTTTTGCATATATAGAGGCAGACACATGTCATACTGTATTTTATGTTGAAGGAACATAATCCTGTCAATTATCATGTTTTCAAAAAACTTTGTTTGTAATTATTTAGGCTTTATTTGGGACTGCTTTTTTACTGCTTCTTAAAGCAACTTTTTTACGGCTTTGTTTGGAACGTGCAAGTTAGATCCACTAGCATTTTTTTTATAAGCAGGTCTGTTTTTCTTTCAAGTAGATCATGACATTTGCGTAGTTAAGGAGATCATTCCATGCACGCATCATTGGACATGTTATTATTTGCGCTTTTCTCAAAGCTAACAGCTTGATTCTCATAGGTGGAGCCAAGAAAGTCAAGTATATACCGTGAAGAAGCCATAGATGCCCTCATCTCATGCCTCAGAAATCCAGACATTAACAATAGTCAACTTTTAGCTGCCGAGATAATTGTGTCACTTCAGGGAAGGTTTTCTTCCTCAGGAGAGTCTGTTACACGAGAGTCTCTTTTAAAACGTGCAGGGGTGAAAAAGAGGAACAGGCCAACAATGGGATCAGACCAGATTGACTATGTTCATGATAATTCTGAAGAAAAATTGGTTAGCCTTTTTTTTTTAACTAATAATTATGATAGTTATCATTTTTTTCTAATTATAGTTCAAATGCAAATATTGAACTTATTACACCATGGAGACCTCTGAAACCTTCTAATTTGCTAAATTAACCGTTATCTTAACTCTAAGATTCATTTGTCCTTTCTTTCTTTCATGTTCTTTTTTTTATTTGATTTTGCTTTTTGTTAATTTGAGTTAGAACTATGAAGTATGAGATCATCAGAGAAAAGGATTATTTCTAAACTTTTGTAGTCACAAGAATGATCCTGCTTTAGTGTTGCATTTTGTGGCTAGGAATTAAATATTGTTCTATTTGACAGCTTTTATGCAAAAATTCAGGAGATATAAGATCCAAAGCGTTGAAGAAACCAATTCTCATAGTTCAATCATAGGAGCCAACTCTGTTTGCTTGGAATGAACAAGTACTGGAGCACCAGCTTGCCCTCCCAATCCATCTATATGCTGTATAAGAAATACACATTAATGATTAAAATCTTCCGAAATGTTTAAAAATATCAAGTAAGAAATAAAAATTTGCAGAAATAAAGAAAAATTCTTGTGGCAAGCCTTGGCAATGATGAAGATGGACTAGCAGTCGTTAAAGACATCTCTATCACTCGATTTAGGCTGGATCTAGACTCTTTGACGGTTTCAACAGTAGCAAAAACATGAAGCGTGTTACACATGGAGATTGCCTCATTCAAAAAGAGTTAGATATGCTTGCAAAAAAAAAAAAAAAAAAGAGTGAACGAGTAAGATAAGTTAAAAATTAGAATCATTAGATCACATATAGTTTAATTTGTCTAGTGGATCAAATGGGGTTTCTCTTTAGGATTGTATTATGTCTGATAGATCTCTGTCAAAATAATTATTTTTTATAAATTTTTTGATGAAATAACAATATAAACCAAGGTTTCCAATTAAAAAAAAATTAACCTTTTCTACTTAAGTATACTTGTAAACTTCGTTGGTGGTTGAAAACTTGTCCAGCATAACTGGGTTAGACTTAGTTATAAATTTCGGTCATCTTCCATTTCATCAAGAAGCGCCTTTACATAAAGATTAGTTTGATGTGATTATACAGTCAATATTTCCCTTTATACTGTGCTTGCTTTCAAGGCTAACCCATATTCTATAGTCGAAAATGGTGTGAGAACCTTCGTGACCTGCAAGAACACAGAAAACAGAGAAAAGAAATAGAGAAATAGAGAAAGGAAGAACAGGGGAAGAAGAAGGTTGGAGGTAGGAGAAATAGCTTCAGCTTTCCGTATATCATTTTCTACCCGAATACTCCTCCTTTCTACTACATATATCCTCCTCTTCTATTAGAGAAATAACTATGAAAAGAAAATGCTGAGCTGGCCACTAGACTGGCATATAGCAGAAAAGAAACAGAGAATATTCTTAGTACTAAAGATAATTTGGGGAAGTGGAGGTCGTAGGTAGTTAGCGGTCAGATGTGATGTTCCGTGGGACCTGGATAACTCACATCAGAAAATACTTATCTACTTTAATTGTGGGGAAATATCAATATTTCTTATCAAGCCTGTATCATGTTTCATGTTTGAAATGCTAATCTCCTCTTTTCTAACATAAAAAAGGGTATGGAAGACATGGAACGAAGTTCAAAGTTGATCGGACTAATATTTTATGCATACCTTGATGCCCTGCTTTTCCTTTTTAGATCAATGCGTCTTCTACAATCTTTTCTTTTTTGCCTTTTGTTTTTTTGCCATTTAGGATTATTTCATTTTGTAAGAATATTGAGTCTCATTATGCAATGTAGGAAGACGATAAGGTTACCGATGACTGGGAAAGAAAAATGGCGTATGCCTTAGTCAGCCATGAATTTGGATTATTATTTGAGGCTTTAGCTGAAGGACTTAAGAGTGAACAGAGAGAGTTCTTCTCTGCTTGTCTTGTCTCTGCAAGTTGGCTGACTTACATGCTGTCCATTCTTCCTGATACTGGGCTGCGTGGTGCTGCTCGGGTTTGCTTGCTCAAACATTTTGTTTTGGTTTTCAAGTCAGCAAAAGATGCTGATGACAAAGCACTTGCTATGCTTGCCCTTAGCAGCTTCATGAATGACTCTGGTATGTCCTTTTAAATGATCGTAGAACACTCCTTAAATATTTAATATAATGCTTGTGAGGAAAGCAATATTGCAATATGTGTTATACTGACCACTATGAAGGCTTCGTTTGGGACAACTTTTTTGCTACTTCTTAAAGCAGCTTTCTAGTAAAAAAGGAAAATTTTTGTACTAAAAAGTTGCTTTGAGAAGCAATAAGAAAGCCGTCCCAAATGAAGCCAAAGTCCTCCCAATGCATGTAAAGTTATGCTATGGAGCCTTTGTTTTGTTGCTAAGCTGCTTTCAAAATCATGCTACGCTAATGAAAATTCATGGTATGCAAGCAATGATGTGCGATTGGTACTTTTAAGTATCTAATTTTGCTACATCATTCCCAATTTTCAGAGGGCATGCATGACCTTACTTTCCATATCAAGGATATAATAAAAACTCTCAGAGAGCTGAAAAAGTCTTATGTTTTGGCCAATGAAATGCTAAAACATTTATGTCGTGGGCAAGAATCATGCATGGTGAGTTTGATATACCTATTACCCATTTTCTGAGATGCTTTTAGAATAAAAAGTTATGGAACGTTTACAAAAATTCTCATCTATTTCTACCAGCTGGAGATGTGGAATCATCAAGTTTTGGCTCAGGTGGACTGTAGCATGCATGGGGAAGTCTTATCAATAGCTTATTTCAAGAATAGGATAATTTCAGGGCATTCGGACGGAACAGTTAAGGTAAAAGGTCCTGCTATTCAATTTGTCTTTCAATTCATCAAATGGTCGTTCAATTCCACTTATCTTTATTAATATGATTATTTTTTTAAGCAATGGAATTAGAAGAGCCTCAAATTGTAAATAACATAAATTATGCTAATTGCTTGTTAAAGTTAAAAAGTTAAAATATGCTTATTTAATCCCATAAAATTAACTTTGATCTATTATTTTTATTAGTTTGTTGAAGTATGTTTCCGTTCCAACAGAAATCCATGCAATCTTTGTGCTTTGTGATCTGTGCTTTGCACAGTTCTTTGACTAATATTTGATGTTGAAACCGAGTAAAATATTTTTGCTTTAGAAACGTTTATTATATTTTCTCTAACAGAATAATAGGGGAGTTTTTAACACAAAATATTTTGTTTCTTTCTTTCTAACTAGTAGTCACTTTGATGTTGAACTTGGATCTTTATCTCTAGTGTAAACCAAACAAATAATGAGAAGACAGCAGTGTTGTGTTGTACAACAAAGCCACATCTTTCGTACATGATTTTTTTTTGCATTTCTTTGTGCTTAGTCATTTTCGTATTTGAACATTAAATAGAAAACCGAATATGCCAAGTTGACCCCTTCAAATAATACTTGCTTCATGGAATGTTATTGAAGAATTTTACGAAACTAACATTTAATTTGTGTGTTTATTGGAACAAATGGCCTTCAAGTGTAAATTACATAACTCATGGAAGCTAAAACTCTTCCAGCAGCCTTGTTATGTTTGAAAGAGCTTGATACAACTTGTTTACTAACATAGATCTTGACTAGCCTAAGCTATATGCATTTTTTCCCTCTCTTTAAGCTCTCATGGTCCTTAGCGCTGTTTTGTCAAAAGAAAATTAAATAATCATGATTTGTTGTTCTCTAGAATTTGTACTGAAAAACAAAAGACCTATAGGTATGGGGTAGTGGAGAGAAACTTCTTCATCAGATCCAGGAAACTCGAGAACACACAAAAGCTGTCACCAGCCTAGCAGTTTTACAATCCGGAAAGAAACTCTTTAGTGGTTCGGTTGATAAATCTGTCAGAGTATGTACCAAATATTTTGTTTCAACTATCTCTTGAATCAAACACTTCCATTGAAGTCACATTATTCAAGTGCAGGTTTGGTCTTTGCATGATGGACGCATCAATTGCATGGAATTTCATGATACAAAAGATCAAGTTCATAGTCTCAATATTTCAAACAATATGGCCTGTTTCATTCCACAGGGAGCTGGTGTCAAGGTATCTGAATATTCCTATCCTTAAAAAATTTTCATATACTTTTTCTTAAAGGCTTCGTTTGGGACGACTTTCTTACCGCTTCTTAAAGTAGCTTTTTAGTATAAAAATTAAAATTTTTGTACTAGAAAGCTGCTTTAAGAAGCAGTAAGAAAGCCGTCCCAAACAAACCCTAAGTTTCATCATTTAAAACTTTCAATAAATTCTTCCAGTGCTAACTAGTTGTCCTGGCAATTAGGTACTTACATGGAATGGTGCTTCCAGGCTACTAAATCCAAACAAATCAGTGAAGTGCTTTTCTCTTGTTCAGGGAAAACTTTATTGTGGGTGCAGTGATAATAGTATCCAGGTATATATTCCTTTTCTACCAAGTGTTCTGATGTATTTTCATCACATTCCATGATTACTTAAAACTTGTTGAAATCATATTTTAAGCATCTTCTAGATTTTTTGGTGTTAATAGCTTATATAAAAAAAAATTCTGACCTTACAAAGGATGCACTTTGCTTTACTTCCTACTCTTCTATTGCTTTATATCAAATCGATTATGCTTTCCTATCTTCTTTTCCGAAATTCTTTATTAACTCTGTAGCTATCTCAATTCGGATTTGCAGGAAATAGATCTAGCCACAGGAACTTTAGGAACAATACAAATAGGTAGCAAGAAGTTGTTGGCAAAAGCTAATCCAATCAATGCATTACAAGTTCAGGATGGATTGCTCTATTCGGCTAGCAGCCCTTTGGATGGAGCAGCTGTTAAGGTAGCTTTTTAACTTGTGAGTTATATATATACAGGATGTGGCTTGAATTTTGGGATGCCTTGTAGGTTATAATTTGGGTTAATGGGTCGGATTCAATCCAATTATAGTTTTACACAAACCGACACACTTCTATTAAATAGATTAAAATCTCAACCTAAACTCAACCCAACCAAAAAATAACTTAAGTATATCGGGTTAGTGTCAACCGACTCAAACTGATACAATTATCCATTTCGAACATAATAACTCGAGAAAAGAAGAATTTTAAGGGAAAAAATAAAAAAAGAAGAAGAATCAAATGAATTAAGTTATTAATTTTTTGTTGACCCCAATCCTATTCTATTTTTCCGGATTATTTTAGCTATTGACCCAAATTCATTCTAAATCTCTTACGGGTTGAACAAAACTCAAAAAATTTTTTTTTGGTCAGATTCAATATTGACCTCTAAGGTGTCTTTCCCATTATAAATAGACAGAACTATTATTTTGAAAGATTGACTGATTTTACAACTTGAATGCCAATACAGATATGGAATGCTTCAAATTACAGTCCAATGGGTTCCTTGCCATCCATCCTTGAAGTAAGATGTATGACTATAAGCTCTGAATTGATATATTTGGGTTCTAAGAGCGGAGTAGTGGAGGTATGGTCCAAGGATAAGCTTTCAAGAATAGGAACTCTTCAAATTGGAAGCAATTGCAGGGTCCAGTGCATGACAGTCATCAACGATGAGCTTTTAGTGGTCGGAACATCTGATGGAAAGCTTCAGGTGAGTAATATATAACATATTGTCAAAGATGATAAAGCATGAGTGATGATACGATAGCATTTTCCTTTTTTGCAGGCCTGGGGACTAACATGAAAGATGCAGAATCACGATTAATTATTCTGTGCGGACGCCGAAAGTCGTCTGGAGACCAATCAAAATGTATCATGTCACCTCTTCGCTTAGTACCGCGGCTCGGTACTGCTCGGTACCGTGGCTCGGTACCGCTGATGTGACGCATTCTGGTTGGTCTCCGGACGGCGCCTACGTCTGGTCTCCGCACAGAATAATTTCTCACCACAGTATATTTATACAGAAGAATAAAATAAAAATAATTCTTTATTCATTAACTAACTTATGTTGTAAGTCATTGTTTTTTCTTGATTTTGTTATAAATGTATGCTTTGTTGTAATTATCGATTGGTTGGAGAACCACCTTTGTATACTAACTTGTGGAGGTATTTGTATTATGTATGATTACATTGGGGGCTTTATATATATGAGATTATTAATTTTCATCTCATGTAAGGTAAATTTTTGGAACCAAGCAAGATAGGAGTTGAATCCCTCACCTCACATATGTTGATATAAGGGGGAACACATTATAAGCTAATGCTCCTCTCTAATAGTTGAAAATTATTTTGGTGTGGAAATATTAAGTAATTAAATGAAACACCTGATGAATTTGTGCGCGGTTGCATTTGTTATGATTTGATCTGGTAAAAGTAATCTTTTGAATTTTAGTGTTTATCATCTCTTGCATGTATTTATGAGTGCTCTGTATGCTTGTGAGTATTTGAATCTGGTCTGAAGCGGTTTTTGATAGGGGCGTCAATTTTTGACACGATCCGAACCCGACCCAGAAAAATCCGAGTTAGGGTCAACCCGAACCCGTAACGGGTTGGGTTCAACAAATCAACCCGTTTTAAAAATCGAGTCGGGTTCGAGTTGACCCAACAACCCAAAATGACCCGAAAATGTCACGAAAACTCTTATTTGACCCGGAAACCAGAGATTGACCCGTGTTTGACCCGATACTGACCCGAAAATCAAAGATTGACCCGATTTTGACCTGAAAAACTAGCAATTTTATGTCAACTTCGAGTCATTCGTGTTGGGTCGGGTTGATTCGGACCCGAATCGGGTCATGATCAGGTCCGGAAACCTGACCCGTTTTTAAAAATGGGTCTGATTCGGGTTGACCTGAATAGTGCCGGGTCAGTTCTGGGTTTGACCCGAACCCGACCTGTTGACCCGAATTGACACCTCTAGTTTTTGAGGGATATGTGTGCATGTTTGAATAATTTGAAAAAAAAAATTTGGGGTGGTATAATGATGTGTTTTGATCTCTCTATCTTTTGGTTAAAATAATGTTGGTTTTATGGCGCTATGCTCCTTTAAGAGGAGTGCAACGATGCACAAGATCGGGTGCCATGGTGCTATATTAAAATGTTATATTAAAAGTATCATTTTTCATTCTTTTCTCTCTTAAGGTGACCAACTAGAGAGAGGATTGTAGTGATAGAAAGTTAGGATGTTGTTGAATATGGTCTATTTTTTATTGTTGGTTCATTTCTAAAAGTTGTTTGGCTCGAGATAGGTTATATTTTGTATATCTTAGTTTCAAAAATATGTTAATCTTGAAATTTTCTTATTTAATTTATAATTTTGTTAAGAAAAATTGGGATAACTGTGTAACCATAAAATTTTCATTGTATAATTTTCTTTATGTTGTAGATATGACAATTCTAAACATTTAGATATTTTTCGGAAAGTTTTTGCAGGATAGTTCAAAAAAAATATGCTATTTTATTTATCTATAAAATAACTTTGATCCCAAAAAATAATGTTGTAGTACAATGAAAATTTTAAAATAATACTCTGAACAATTCTTGGTAATCTCAGGGGTGTTAAAAATTGACACGACGCTGAAACCCGATTCTAACCAACAATCCACTCGTTATGATTTTTTAGGGCTTTGCATTTTTTTTTTGGTTATTTAGTTATTCTGTGAATGGATTTTTACATTTTGCATTTGTAGATCTTGTTAGCTGACATGGTTCTTTATGAATTTATACATGTAGTCTGTTGTTGTTTTAGCCTATTTAAGATGTTCACTAAAAATCTTAATTATGTAGCATTGCTGTTCATTGAAAATCCTATTTTATTTATCAGTGTTATTGCAACTAGTTGGCTTCTCTTAGATTGAGGCATCGAGCATACTAGGGATGACTTTCTTACTGTTTCTTAAAGCGATTTTTTAGTAAAAAATTTTTGTACTAGAAATCCACTTTAAGAATCAGGAAGAAAGTCATAACAAACGAAGCCTTAGTTTGGGACGGCTTTCTTCCTACTTTTTAAAACAATTTTTTAGAACAAAAATTTTAATTTTTGTACTAGAAAGCTGCTTTAATAAGCAGAAAGAAAACCGTCTCAAATGAAGCCTTAAGTCAATACAAACTGGCAACTTTGATGATAATATTTATTACACTTACATTTCATTAAATGATCAATGATTTGGAGGGAGAGCCACTTGAGTAGCTAAGCGTTTGTGATCTAAGTTATCTAAATCTATATAGGTTTTTTTTTTTTTTTTAATTTTGTACAATCATGGTTAGTTCTGTTTTATTGACCCTTTTCTGTTCTGTAGCCACATACCGTATTGTAAATGTTGTAAATATATCTTTGATGAAATGGAAAATAAAAAACTGAGGAATAAAGCTAATTTATTATGCTTACTAAAGTTAATTAGAAGCTCTGATGTATGTTTCAAATTTGGAAGAAATCTAAAAAACTCCCAAAATTTATATCTTGGACTGGTATGTCTCAATTCAACACATTATGACTTGTTTGCTTGTATGTCATATTAGTATTAGCCATCTTTTATTTTGCTTAAATTTTATATTAAAATGAGCTTGGTTATTAGTTTATTAAGCCTAGCTTTTAGTCCTTTTTTATTTATACTCCCTAATAAATAATCAAATTATATGATTTGACTAAAACTTGGTAGTTCATTTTTTTTTTTTGCTATAGATATTATATTAATAAAACAAAAAACAAAGGTTACATCAGCATAAAAAGAAAAGCTAACAGAATAAAAGACTAAACAACAGAGAGAATTAGAAGCTAAAAGCGAGCTCAGGAATTAGTCAAGGCTTCTAGCGTCCAGGACGTCCCGCACGGACCTGCCAGTAAGGCGTAGATAGCGTCCCAACGATCCATCCCGAAAATCCACACCTACAGTTGCCACCAGCAAAAACGACCGGGACGCGAGCCCCGACCACATCATTGCTCTTAGCCTCACGTAGCAGCAAATCGAACAGTAAAGCTAACAAATCCTGAGAAGAAACAGCAAGAAGAAACAAAATAACGAAACAAAAATTCATCTTCTGTGTCGACCTCTCCCCCAAAATTTTCCGCGAGTGCCAACATTTGAAGTACGCACAAGAGCAAAATCATGGTCGGACTCAAGAGTCTCCGAATCCGATTCAACATCTGACGAATCAACCAACCAATTACTCTGATTCCTAATATCCAAACCAGAGGAATTATCCACACAGTTAGCCATCACTTGGGTATCAACCTCACTTACAGGGACCACAACTAAACTGTTGGTAATCAAAATAACTTTTTCTCTACCCAGAGACGAAAACTCTTCTCAATTTCAGCCGGCACCACCGCAACAGGCATAAAACCATCAGAACCACCATCTGCATCCTTTAAAACTTGAACACCCCCATTAGAGTTCACAACACCCATAACTGGCGAGCCATCAGAATTCACCACATTCATCGCACCAGAAACCACCTCCGGCACCATCGTCGGAGAATCAGGGTCTCTAACAGCAGTCACAACCGGTAAAAGAGAAAAATCCAACTTCAGCCGTTACAAAAGACCCAGCCCCAACCTCAATAAGAGGTGAAACAGTAACCCCATACTTGGTAGTTCATATGATTAGTGATTATCTTCTTATTTATGCTATGGTTGAATAAGGATAAAGAGTATATAATTCTCACAATGGCGTGATAGAATGGATTATTTATGCAAGATAATTGATGATGCTAAAATATATTTACTTGGAGGCAACAATAGTTGGTGAATTTTGTTATTTGGATGAGATTTTAAGAGCCCTCCAATATAGTTATAAATATAGAAATTAATAAATATTAAACATTTATAAAATAGTATAAAATTGTGTAAGTAATTTATCATAATATAATTTGTTATGCTTAAATATATTAAATTAGCACTTAATCAAATAATTCAATTGTACAAAAGGCGCCATATAAAGTAAATTTATGATGTAGACTAATGACCAAACTTAGTGAAAGAGTTTAGGACTATAAAGCTTAATGTAAAGTCTTTTAAATATAGGGGATTTCAATTTTTGGATGATTGATTTGTTGAAAAGAAATATAGTATAAAATTTTAATGAATTCCTTTTACACATCCTTATTCATTTTTATGTATTTTAAATTTCCCTAGTTTTGGATGATTTCCATCTTCACCATGAGCTAATTGTGTCGTCCTTGCCTACTACCAAGTGCCAACAGTCGACTTCCCGGTGGCCATCACCATCGACGACCGCCGCTACCAACAGCCTCCGACCACCACAATCATTTGACTTTGCATTTATCCAAAAAACTTCAAACATTTCAAATACAATATATTCATTTTACATTTTTTTTTACTCTAGAGCACCTAGGATCCCGCTCTTAAGATTATAATAAGCTTTCTATGTTCACATTTTCCTGAATTTTGGAGTTGATTGAAAGCTTCATATTTTAATTTTGTTCTCACAATCCCAACAATTTTGAATGTACATGTACTATAACAAGTTCAAAATGAACAAAATCCTTAATACGAAAATCTTAAGAGATCAAGCAAAAGATATTAAAGATAATAAAAGTTTTAAGGAATTGATTTGGACGAGTACTTAGAAATATCTCTCAAAAAATTTTCAGTACTCTCTAACTCACTAAATTATCACATATGATTTAGGCTTCATTTGGGACGGCTTTTTTATTGCTTTCTAAAACGGAGTTTTAGTACAAATTTTTTTATTTTTGTATGATTAAAATTTAATTAACATACTTAACATAATTTAAGAAATAATAAAAATATTATAATATGCTTAATTTTTAAATTAGATGATTAATAAATTAATTAATATGTAAATCCATATAAAAGAAATACAGATAATATAATAAAAATTGAAAATTGCCTTAATTTTCTTGCAAATATGATTAGTAAATTAAGCACATAATCACAAAAACTAAAATAATAATTAAAATAAATTTTATATACAAGAAAATAAAGAAATAAAAAAATTTAATATAAGTCAACTAGATTAAGTACCCAAATTTTATATAATAATTTTTACATGTTTGAAACAAAAAATAAAAATATCAAATTAATTTATTAGAATGTTCATCATCCTTGAGTTCTTTAATAATGTTTACTACATTAATTTACATTAATTCAAAAGTGCAACTCACACAATAGACTAAGGGTTCGTTTGGGACGGCTTTCTTAGTATTTCTTAAAGTAATTTTTTAGTACAAACATTTTAAGAAACTGCTTTAAGAAGCAGTAAGAAAGCCGTCCTAAATGAAGGCTTCGTTTGGGACGGCTTTCTTACTGCTTTTTAAAGCAGTTTTTTAGTACAAAAATTGATTTTTTTCTATTAGAAAGCTGCTTTAAGAAGCAGTAAGAAAGCCATCCCAAACGAAACTGAAGCCTAAATCCATCTTAGAGCTTGATATCTTCACTTTAGTCTCCATAAATTCACCTTTAAACTTATCATCTAAATGAGCAAACATCCAAATAGCCATTGAAATCAACTCTTCACTTTGATGGTTGCTAGAATTGATGAACATTAAAAGAAAGTCGTTAAGTGGCTTTTACCTAAGATTTATTATCAATAAATCAAATAATGAGAAAAATAAGAGTATAAACTTGCATGTTGAAGCGCTTTAGCGCAAACTTATTTGCATTATTTAATGACAAAAAGATTAGTTGGATTAGAAAAGAGTTGTAACAAAACTTCTTCTTGATTGGCTTTTTTCATAAAAAATTTGAATTAAATAGAGCGGTTGAGCCGATTATGATTTTGATGAACAATCTAGTTCATATCTTGATCAATTTATCTCTATTTATTTTAATCAAGCAACTAAATATAAATAATTTAGACTAAATAAAGCTATTTAAATGTAAAAATTATCTTTAAATTCTTTAATTTATGAGCACTTTTATTAATATTAAATAATGCCAATTATAGCCTAGAATATATTTATGTGTATTTTAAATGATTATATGAATGCCATTTATGATTATAAAAAAGAGGTTGGTCTCTTAAATATAAAAGGTAGGAATTTAACTTTAAAATTTAAGAAGATATATATTATATATGTTCTATATTTTTATAAAATAATTATTAATATTTTGGTCATATGTGAAGATTTTTGTTATTTTATTTTAAAATATTTAAATAATTTTAACATTTATGATAGCGTTCAATGTTCAATCCTAGTTAAATCTTTTTTTTTTTTTCAATTTTATAAATTTACCATTAATTTAGAAAAAACTTCTCGCACGTGTGAGCCACTTTTCCTCATAAAACCCCAACCAAGAATGAAAAAATACCCCTTTCCTCGTCGCTCTTCGGGTTACAGCCGCCATGGATAGGATATCAAAGATGCGATCCCGTGAGTTGGACCTCGATGCTGCGCCGGAATCGGAGTCGGAGGCACTATCGCTTTCACCGTCACCGGCTCCGCGCATCGGCGCCAACCTCAGCAGCATGGTCGTCAAGCCTTCGGCAAGCGACGGCGGTGGGAGCGATCTCGATATCGGTTATGCCACTGATGAGGGCCAGCGTGGCTCCCCGCCGCCTCCGCGCCGAATTAATTCACCGCAAGATCCTCAACCCCGTGATTCTCCGTCGTCCGGCCGACGCCGCGTGGGCTTTTCGCCCATGCATCGCCGGAGGTCGCCTGATGGATTCCGCCCCCGCGTGTCTCAACCCGGTCCACACCATCGTGGATCTCCGCTTGATTTTCACCGACGCGGGTCCCCTCTGGCGTTCCATCCACGGTCTCAGAGATTCCGAAATGATCCAGGTGATTCATATATGCACAGCAAACCGTAGATTCGGGGTTTGAGTAATTAGTGTTTTGATTCATATATTGAAAGTTTTGATATGGTGGCTTCTTACTTCTTCGTGAAATTTGATCTCACTATCGTATATCGGGGGTTGAGTTTTTGACGACCCTGGTTTACCAATAATAGCAAAAAAGCATGGTATAAGCGATGATTTGGTCGTGCTACGTTACTTTGGTCATGGTTACTATCATGGCATGTTTCCTTCCAAAACATTTACTTAAGATGATGATTCAAGTATGTGAGCCTTCGTTTGCAGCTATTATTGATAACCTAAATGCAATTTTGGTATAATTTGTTGAACTTATGAATATTTTTTTGTGTTCCTATTCTTAAGGATTGCTGCTGCTTTTAGGCTTGTCTTTAAGTGGTGAAAGGTCAAGGATTTTAAGAGACGGAATTTGTTGATGGTTTTTTTTTTTTTTTTGCCCCTTTGTTTGTGTTGCATGGTAGAATGCATGTAAAGAGATGGGGTTATTACTAATTTAACAACGTAATGAAAGGAAACTCTATATTGCTGGTCATGTAGCCATGTAGAAAGAAAAATTTATAAACTTGATGCAGTTCTCTTATTAAAACTGTTTATATGTATTACTATCAAGAAGTAATATCTTAGCTGGTTCTCCAGCTCCCTATTGACTTCTACTCCTTACCCATTTTGATCAGTTAAATGTCTGCAGAAGTTTGTTTTTTTGTTTTTTTTTTATCATGAAAGTTCAACATCTTTCTTTAAATTTTCTTTTCCTTCATGTCAAGTTTCGGAAACTTAGATGTTTAAAAGTATTTATAATTTACTTTCTTATCTTGTTATCTATATATTGTGTACATGGGCAAGGATGTATTTTCTTGTAAACTAGCAAGTCTTTTTAAGCAGAATTTTATTGAAAAACCACAATAGAGTTGGAATGTTTCAATTTTCAGCAGGTATTTTTTTAGTGGAATGCATATTTATTGGACTTTGGATTCAATCGGAGTAATTGTTGATGACCTTTCATTTATTAATTAATTATATAAGTAATTTATTTTACTAATTAATATCAGGATATTATATTTTGTATGAAATTCATAAGAATATTCAATTCAATCATTCATCAACTCACATCAATGCCAAAATAGTCTTATATCAAACAAATACAATTCTTACAATATTTTAGCTGGCATTAAATCTCTGACCACCTCCAGACTTTGTAGCTCCACCAAGTAACTCAATCTTGCTCCCTATATCGCCTTTATCATGGTTTTGAGTGAAACCATGGTTCTATGCAGCTGGTATCTCCTCACAACACCGCCCTCTTCCTTCCATCCGAATCTCTATAGTCAAGGATATTCAGTCCACCTTTATCTTCCCTATCATATGCAATCACTTCATCCCTAGAATCACATCAATGCTCCCCAAATCCAAGGGAAGAAATCTCCCACTATCTATGTCTTGTAAGTGCCAACACCAACCTCTTGCAAATGCCCCTACTACTCTCCACCTTTCATATTTTCATCATGACTCCAAAGCTCTCTGTATCCACCAACTCCAATACCAACTGGTCCACGACCTAATTTGAGATGAAATTATGAGTAGCCCTGCTATCCACCAATAAAAATAAAAAAATGAAAAAAAGCCCTTCTATCCACCAAGACCACCCCTAGTCGGCCCCTGATATGTCCCATCATCTTGATGGTGTGATTTGGAATAAATCCCACCATTGAGTTAAGGGACACTTCTGCCATATCAAGGTGTATATATTCTCCTCTCTTTTCTGCTTCCTCACCCAACCCCTCACTGTTAGTCTCCTCCTCATCAAAAACCATAAGGACTTGGAGTGTGCGTCTTTGCACCAATGGCTAGGTGCATACTTCTCATCACATCAAAAGCACAAACCATTCATTATTGTGTCATGTACGTATGACTCTGTGAGGTGCTTGAAGTTGGCTCCGAGGCGAACTCCCCCACTCTTCTCCCTTGATGGCCCCTGCTAAAAAGATGTTGTCTGGGTCCTTGGTGCTAGTGTAGTTGAGGCAGTCTTGTAGGAACCTGCTATGATTATGCTCCTGATGGTCTTCTCCATCTGTCTCTGATCCTATGTTATCAGTGCTAGCTCCATCGTCTCGTTCAACCCCCTTGGTCTCAATAATTCGAGGTCTACCAGTATGTCTGGCTTCAAGCCCTTCATGAAAATTCTACATCACTGCCTCCAAAACCCCCCTCAACCGCCATGACAGTAACTAAAATCTCTCCCTATACTCTATGACGGTCCCCTCCTGAGTCAAGGCAAAAAAATTGCTCGTGTAGGTTTCCTGCCCGAGTGGCTCGAAAATGTTCCAACAAGCAATCTTTAAATTCCTCCCAAGATTTGATTAGATATCTAGCCTCCCTCCACTGGAACCAAGCTAGGGATTTCGCTTCCAAACACAACCTTGCGGCTGTAAGCGTCTCCTCTTCATTCAACCCATTAATAGCAAAATACCTCTCCAGCAGTACACCCATCCATAGGCATCCTCCTCTTTGAATATTGGCATCTTTAACTTCCTCACCCTAGTATCTCTAGTCCAACTTTCCCTCCCTCCAAAAGTTCCCCTGTGTCTCGAGGGTGGGAATCCCACCTTCCTATAGTGGTCGGCCACCATACAACCTCTTCCAAAAATTCCCTCTTAGTTGTACGGTTGTACCCTCATCCAGACCCCTATTTGCCCCTTCTCAAAACCCTAAGAGGTGGCTCTTGATGAAAGAAACTCTCCCAGTGAAACTCCTCTCTTCTGTTCTCCTTTCCCTTTCGATTAGGCCAAGAGAATTCGATCAAATCTTGATTAGGGTTAGTAATCAGAACTGCCGATGAAGTTTTTGATTGCATCTCTATGAGTTTCTTCATCATCTCCTCCAACCCTCCAAATCAGCTCTCTAGACGATTTTTTATGGTTGAAAATCTTCCTTTGATGGTTGAGAAATTCTCCTCATCTTGGATTTAATTTGCTCCATTTTGTCTTCTAGCGCATCCACTTTCTTTGCTGTCATCTCTCCAAAACCTCGCTCTGATCAATTTGATGCATCTTGGAAGTAAAAATAGCAAGTAGATTTGAAGAAAAATACATGAACACAAAGATAGGGGCTGATTTTTTATTTCTCCTTCAACAATAATACAAGATACAATTAATCTACTATTTGAGAGGTAGATTAACTCTCTCACAAGCCCTAGCCGCCGTTAGGAACCTTGGACAAACTCTAGAAATAAAATTCAACAGACAAAATATACTAACCTTAGATCAAACTCCTTAAATAGCCCTAATCATACAATAATGCCAATTAAACTCTTCCTAAATAAGTGAATAATTTCCTAAACATCTCTCCTTGATTCCTCCTCCTCACATACTAAATTACAACTTTGTAGGGCTCCACAAGGGGGGCCGAAACTCCCCTGGTTCCACCCAACCCTATGGCTAGTTCAACTCTTGCTAGACCGACCGGTTAGCTTGGTCCAAGCCGCCCCCCTCTCCTGCTGCTCTTGCCGTATCACATTGTTAGCCCTAATATATAATCAAGTAATCACATGTTGCTTTTTGTTTCTAAAGAGGATGTTCCATCTTGATTTTGCATTTGAGGGCTACATACTTGGTTGGTAACAACCACCGGAGGATAATAGATTCTCTTCTATTAAGAGGAACGTAGGTTGTTTTTTAGGTTCTTTTTGAACCATGCAAAATCTGAATGGAAAATCAAGACCTATCATTTAAACTGTCGTTAAAAGTAATAAGACATCAAATTTCATAAAGTTTAACAATAATTAAGTCCTGTGTTAAGCTCATGAAATGAGAAACCTATTAGTTGTTGCATGTAGTGTTACAATCAAGTCATGTTTTGATAAGTACTGAAAACTAATTAAACTTTATTTTCATGTACTTGCTATTTCTAGAATGACTTTAGTGATTTGGATTTAATGGAATGCTACAGGTGGTACTTTCGTGCATGGCGTTGCACACTCTTAATTTTTCATTAGATCATTTTAATTGTTATACTTTCATTAGTCGTCAAGTTTTGACTAAACTCATTTTTTAAAAAGTTTTAGATCATAAATGGATTATAAACAAATGCTATGTGGATCTGAATTTTTCAACGCACATCGTTATTTTTTAACCTCACCTACATGTGTAATGCCAATGCTTCCTTTTATAGGAGTACCATTACGCCCTTCTACTTCTAAGAAGACAACAAAAATCATCAAAGAACCTTACAAAGTTGAAAACTCTAGCATCCCCATGTTCACCTTGGTTTTATGAATCTTGTCTATCATTGAATATCATCTGCTAAATATTTCGTTTGTTGTAGAGTTAGTATTTTCCATCACTTTTAAAAGGAATTTTAGCTTTCATAGAATACTTATTGTCTCATGGAAACCTGTCATTGTAAAAATAATAGATATGTTTGAAACCGCCATTTAAGATTAGTTGTCTATTTGCATATAGATGGGCACAGTGTGAAATGTAAGTTTGAGTGAACAATATGCCAAAAGTGATATCTAAATTCTTCTAACAACTGAAGTTTAAAAGTTTGAATAACCTGAAAGAGAGACAAACAAATTTAAGTGAGTATATAACCAAAGAATAACTGTCTTATTGAAGGAGAATTAAAAGAAATATATAGGAGTTTAGGATGCTTAACAGATGTTTCCTTACAAATGCATTGGATTTAAATTAAGAGAAATAACAGTTTATTAGAATCTGTTCTTGAATATCATGCGTTGTATATCCCTGAATCTTATCCATGCTTGAACGTGTTTCAAGCTAGTTTTTGCCTCTTTTTTTTTTTAAGCTAGTTTTTGTCTCTTAACAGTGTGATTGCGATTAATAGGTTTCTCTAGTATAATGATAATTTTGCCGCTTATGCCTTGTGTTTTCGTACTTCCCTTGTTGCATTTATAACGTGTGTTCCACATTCACTTTTATTGTTTACACTCGGAATTTGATGCCTAGAGTTTAGGCCCTTTTTCCATGTTCACTAAATATCAAGTTCTGCAAGTTACAGAGTTTGTTAAATTGAGAATAAAGTTTTCCTGTTGTACTGTAACAGTTGCCAAGTTGCCTGGCTTGGGTCCAAGACCATTGTTAAGCAAGAAAGGATTTCATTAGGCATTTGTGTTTTTTTGGCAATTTGTATGTGATAAAATGTTATGACATCATGAAATAGGACAATGGTTGAGAACGATCTGGTTATGGATATTACTTGATATGCCCTTAGCTTTGCCATTGTACCCACAGCAAGGGATTAAGGACCTGCTTCTGCTGACAGTATGGCTTTCAATTTATGAAATGGTTTATAAAAAAGCGTTTACTTGGAATTATGGTGGGTCAAGAGTAGCCAATTACTTCATCTGCTGGTACTGTTGACATTGTTTAATGGGAGATTTCTGTAGGTGGGTTTGAACCTGTGATGGTGACACGACAGATTGATATTTTATTCATGGAGGTATCAAGGTTATTCTCCCATTCTAACTTTCAACAGGTTTGATCATCTACAGGGGCCTGATCACTGTTATCCCTGCTTACCGTTGCTTTATAAAGATAGATATTTCCTTGATAAGGAAAATAGATGTGAGGCTTATGGAGGAATATTAGGAAATTAATGGTTTTGTATCATCTGATTTTCTTGCGTTAGGGAAATTCTCTGCAGGGAGACCTTTGGTAAGTTTATCTTATGTGGATTTCAAGAGATTAACTTTACTGATGCATTTTATAGGCAATGACGGAAGTGTAAAATGAGGAAGTTGACTTTGGGTTGAAGTTTGAGGGTTTGGGTTGAAGTTGACTTTTCATATTGAATGAGGAACGAGGAGCCTCTTACTGACATGAACTTGATCTATCAGTATTCTTCTGATGGTTAAAGAAGGAACCTTTGGTGTGCAGGCAAGTTGCAGATTAGAAGTGTAAAATGCATTGTGTTCCTGTCTTCAAAATCATCTCATCTTTTTAGTAGCTTCTGCTTCTCCCACATATCGCCAGAGTTTGTTTGACAGAGCAAAGAAAGTGCTTCCTAATGGGTAGTAAATTTAATTATTAATGCCTAATTGGTAGTAACTTTTACCTGGAAATATAATTTGCTTGAACAAGAGATGTCTACAAGATGATTCCTCAGCTTTGGAGACTTTGAACACCCTCGCAGCTTGTCAGCTTGAACTGGTATCATTTCCGTAAGAAAATAAGTGGTAATTGGCATTTCAATTTGGGTTTGCTAAGAAGATGAACATATTTTTAATTGAAGAGCTGATGATGCCTTTTTGGGGCCTTGTTGGTCATGGAATGTGAAGATTCTATTTAACGAGACTGCATGGAATATGGTGGGTTAACCAGTTTTAGATCAATTAATTGAGGAAGTTCTGTTTCCCAGCTTGTGAGCGTGATAGAGATTCTAACACCACTGGTTTATAACATATTTAAGAATTGAAATAGTTCTACGTATCTTGTTGTCAGTGGAACGTTGGCGAGGATTTCGGCTATTGTCATATCAAGAGGCAGTCTCTAACTGTTTGTATTTGGCTTTTACCACTATATGTATATGATACTTATTTTTCTTTTGTTTTCATAGGGTATATGCAACGTCCGGGTTCTATTTCACCTCCGCGCAGGCTAAGAGGGGATGATGGTTATTATGAACCAGATTTTGGGCACCCTCGTGGTCCACGCTCCGGTCGTGGACGTGGAGTACGAGGGAGAGGAGGCGGCAGGTTTCGAGACATCTCGCCTCCTGCTTTTGGCAGTGGCAGGGGTGGCAGACCATATGCTAGAGAGTACCATTCATCTGCACATATAATATCGTCGCCGTCTGAAGGACAGTTTGTCCATAGAAATGATCCAAACTTGTCACCAAGGGAAGGTGACTGGATATGCCGGAACCCATCGTAAGTCTACTAATAAAAATAAATAAGGCTTCGTTTGAGACGGCTTTCTTACTGTTTTTTAAAGCAGGTTTTTAGTACAAAAATTTTAAGCATTAGTAAGAATATCGTCCCAAATGAATCCTAAATTACCGAAACTCTCAAATGTGCTTTGTTTCAGGCATTCCTATTTGATGGTTGTCATATGCTTTTCTATTTCGCTCATTTGTCTCAGCAGGCATCTTATTTTCACTGTGCAGCTGTGGGAATCTGAATTTTGCGCGACGAACTTACTGTAACAACTGTGATAAGTATCGATATGATGAACCATATGGAACTAGCCGGAGCCCTCGTAAGGGCTATGTTAGCCCTCCTCCGCACCGCAGCTTTTCACCCAAGTTACCAGTTTCACCCATCGATCGTGGTCCACGAAGAGATTTCAATGCATACAGATCACCACCGCCGCCGCCACGAGGTTGGGACTCAGATGATCCAAGAGAATTCAACACAAACTTAATTCCTCCCCGGCGTGGAGGAAAATTTCTTGACCCTGTTAGGAGAGGTAGGCCTGATTTCCACAAGGACAGTTTCAGGGAAAGAGGCAGGTCTGATTGGCCTGCTAATGGAGATTACGACCGTCGCGATCGGAATGCATTCATCCCTGAAAGCAGAGCGAATCGCCTCCCTCTTTCTCCCCATGATCATTGGATTCGAGATACAAGAGACAGGAGTCGATCGCCGCCGCTGCCGCCTGTTGGCGGTCGATTGTCCAGGGGTTCATTTGTCGGTCGTAATCGCATTGACCGCCGCTATGATGAGCCATATGTCAGAAACGGGCAACCTGATGACTTAGACATGGCTCATGGTAGAGGTTATAGGCACGGCGGTGGCCGGGGGAGGAGCCCTGATGTATTTTAGATTGCATCATAAGTAAAACTTCTGTTTAGCAAATGATCTTTTGAGAGTTTGCAGATCCTTTGTAGAGTATCAGAATGCTCCTGCAAGAACCATAGATAGCTGGAATGTTAGCATGCTTGATTAAGTTTTGCCTGTTTCTGAAGCTTTGTGTCAATGAGTAAGATGACTAATTATTTGAAGGTCGGTGGCTTTGTGATCTATGCATTTCTTATCTGCTGTGTTCCTATTTCTATATACTGCATTATTTTATGTTACGACTGTTATCTAGCTGCTTCTTAAGAGTTTCTGTAAGATTGATATTGTAGGTTATTAGTTCTTCATTCAATGTTCAATACTTACTATATATATTTTAATTATTTTTCATAATCACTTTATTATATAGAAGAGATAATTTTGCTTTGATTTATTGTTGAACAGGAACATATCTATTGAATGAGTTCTATTAAGGGTAATAAAGCCTGTCAAGAAAAATAACAATAAATGATAGCTTGAATAAATATATCAATATTTTGGCATTCTTATTAACTGCTTTGAAGATTTTTTTTTTTTTTGGGACATTTGTGTTAATTAAGTTAAATTTATACTCATTACAAACACAAATTTTAAATTCAAAATTTTTTAATTGATAATTAAAGCTCTCAACTAATATTACGTGCAGACATTGTGCGAAGATCTATGTCTGGTATCTAATAAAAATATGATGAGTGGATTAGTGCATGATTGAGTATTATTGTGTATTGTTGTGTATTAGCTGTGTATTGCTGAATAATAATTAGTACACAACAATACATAGCTAATAAATATCAATACACATGAAGTATTGATGTTTATTAGTGTGTATTAACTTTGTATTACTATGTACTAGTTAATACATATTAATGCATAGTAATATACAATTAATACATATCAATATATTAGTCAACATATTATATTTTTATTGGAGTTCAAAGATAGCTCTATATTTTATTCACTTAATAATTTTTTTAAGTAATAGACTAAAATGAGCTGCATTTTTGAAGAAATTGAATATCAATATCAACTGAAAAGAATTTTACATTGCCACTGGCGGAATCACGTTAAGGTTAGGGGGGGTAATTGCCCCTCTTTAAAAAATAAATTTTATTTTTTATAGGAAAGAAAAAAAAAATTTTCCCCTCCTAAAAAATTACTTTTGCCTCCGGATGCAATAATTTGCCCTGACTTGAAGCCTTATGAAGAATTTTTCCATTCCTATGAGTGCATCTTTATTATTGGGATGCGGCCAACAGAAGCATTTGTTTCCCGCTTTGGTGTTCTGAGAGAGTGATGTGGAATATTGCGTCACATCAGCACTCTGTACATGGTGGAATTATTTGCAAAATATTGTCTTATTTTATTATATAATAAATATTTTTTTTTTTGTTGTCGGTTATGAAGCATTCATTTTGATTTATTTCTTTTTTAAAATTATTTGATATGCTGAATTCTAATAAATATTTGTCATATATTTTAATATTTAGTATTTAAGAAGAAGGAAAAATGATGTGAGGAGAAAATACTTAATTCTTACTAATCATAAGATTATTAAGGTTTAGTTTGGAAATTTTTTTTATTTTTTTCTAAAGCAAATTTTTAATATAAATTTTTTTAATTAAAAAATATTATATTTGAAAGTTCCTTTAAAAGGTAATTAAAAAACAATCATAAATCAGCCCTACTATAGCACTGAGACTTACTTTATAATGACATTCAAATCATCATACAAATTTTATATGAGTTCAAGAAGTCACAAGTCTTAAATTGACTAAAGTGTTCATTGAAGTTAAAATTGTTGAGCGTCAAATCTCATCAACTCTTGACCAAAGAAAAAAATTTATACATCTAGAATTCAACATGCTAAAATTTTCGCTTTTTCAAGACTACTTGCTTATTCAAAGAAACTATCAAGTCGTTCAAGTGCTCTTGCTAGAAGAATTCATCATATTGAATTCTCCATCAAACTACTAACTTTCTAGAGTTAACATGATTGTTTGACATGCGAATCAACTATATTTTTCCTAATCGAAACATATTTGATCAGATATCTATCTTATTGGAGATAGCGGGTGTCAGTATACGAGTCAATGATGGGCATCTGTGATAGTATTGATGATGGACATAGTCTTCTTGAAGATGGTGTGTATCAATGTTGATGATGATTATGGTATGGATCTCAATGGCTACGATAAGCATTAGCTTTAGTGTTGATGGTGGGCATCAGCTTTGAAGCCAACAATAATAATCTATCTTGTTGCTAATCATGAGCATTAACATTATTGATAATGGCAAGCATCACACTTGTTGATGACAATGGGTGTCGAGATTGTTGACAACGGTGGGCGTAAAATTAATCTAAGAAACAATATTGATGATGCATGGTGGTAAAGATGGTTATTTACCTAGTTGACAGTGGCATGAGTCATTATTATTGGTGATAGCTTGCATTATTATCCATGGAGGGCATCAATGATGTTGAAGCTTTTGAGTATCGATGATGGTATTGATGGTGAGCAATAGCTTAGTTACTAACAAGCAGGGTCATCATTATTGACGATGGTGGGCATCAACATTTTGCTATTGCAAATAGTTAATAATATTAGAGATGATGGGTTTATGCATGGGTTGTAAATGATGGAGGGAATAGCCTTTGTGGAAAAGTTGGTCATTTGCATGGACTTCAACGACAAGCTTCAACTTAGTATGTGACAATAGAAGTCTTTAAAGATGGCGATGACATGCATTAGCCTTAGTGGCAATGGTAAGTGTTTCCTTTGTCATTGACAATAGATGTCGGTGATGTTAATGACAATAGGCTTTAATCTTGTTAAAAAAGGTATGCATCAATCTTATAAGTATTAGCAAGTGCAAGTATTATTGGTTGTGCTAAGCGACGACCTTGATAATTTTGGCAAGTGTCAATGATGAACGTCATAAGTTAGCATATAGAGTTCTTATATTATTTGAGTCTCAAAATTCTATCTTATAGAATCTTTTTGGGTCATCATAATGGTCTGCTCAATTAGTCGCAGAGCCTACTAATAAAATTCAAGATTCATTCCTGTCAAATTGATCAAAAATCAAGGCACTTTATTGAATAATCAAAATTGATCCCCCTTAATCATGCAGTGTATTTTTGACATCATAGTGTTTTCATTATTTTGGAATTAACTAATCTTGAGCTTGCTAGATTTCATCTCGTTAAGCCGCCTTTTCGTCTATAAGCATGCAATTACTAGGAGGGCATATAATCATCCAAATTCTATTGAGAAGTTTTCAATTACACTTTAAGTGCTTAATTTATGTCCAATTGGAGTCAGATTAAGGTATTTTTAGCATTATCGGGCTTTTCTCATTGAGATGATCGTTTTGACTATAAATTTATTAAAAATAGAGTTCATATGATATTTTATAGAATTTCAAGGTATTTAATAGGGAAATTTTACTTTATATGCCCCATAATATCTCAAATTGGAGTAATACATTTATTTCTCAAAAAAATATGTCAAAATTTTTTATTCGAACTAAAATACCTCCTAATATACTTATATCTTGATGTATATGAGGGATATAGCTACTATCAAGACTAACAAATTAAGTAATCTTGAGCTCTTAGTGATAATATGGAATCTAAGAAGATCTAAGAGATTAAAGAAATCTCAAAAGTTTAAAAATATGCATATTCACCAATTTGTTATAGGGTTCAGACAGCTACAAAAAAGATACACCTAAAAGTAAAAATAGTGAAAAGTATAATGTGATTTTATTATAGATGATAATGAACATGTGGCATAATTGATTGATCTCCATGTGTATCTCTGCCTCCAATACAACCATCTATTCCATGGCAAGTCCCTTGTACAAGTCTTCATAAGTGAGTGTCTTGGGCAACTCCTCATGATAGGTGTATGAGGTGAGTCTGTAAAGGTGAATTGTCTAGATGCAGTGGTAAGTCCATAATGATACAACTTAACCTTTAAAAGACAAGTCATCTTGAATGAAAATGATTGCGGGCTGAGAATTTCCTTAGCCCGGGAAATCATAATTACAGGCTTCCTAGGTTTGTAATTCTTATAGTTAGATGAGGGATTTAAGCAAAAGAAGAGTGCCCTTAGTTGTGGAGAGTAATCGTGTATGAATGGCTCATATCAAAATGTGTAACGTCCCAAAATCTAATTTGAAAGAATTCTTTTTTTTTATCTTTTATTATACAACAATCAGAGACATCTATTTTCATTCATCAGTAGTAAACTGTAGAAACAAATTTTATAATTTAAAACATCAATATACAAATATATTTATTGATCACAAAAATTATGTACACTACTCTCGATCTATATAATCATAACATATCTATCATGCCCTAAATATAAAAGAATAACTAAAATAACAAGAACTTAAACCTGAAGGATCATGATCAATCTCACACTCATTCTCTTGCTCTAGCCTTAAATCATTTATTCACATATGATGAGCTCAAGAGTCCAACAAGTAACCAAATGCTACAAATGAACCCAAAGTATGATAAATGAGCAAAATGCATGTCAACAATCAAATAATAATAATAATATTTATATAATCATGAATCAGTGCGAAAATAATAAAGCTCACATGCAGTAGCAATATAATATGTAAAAAATAAAGTAATACGATATGGAAGCCAGTAAAATAGTATATTGAGAAAATCATTAAATCTGTGCATGTGTCGAACCAATAAAGTAGTTATCGTATCAACACTATCAATCAATAAATTAATCATATATAGCGGTGAAAATAAAACATTAGTAAAGAACTGTCTAACTCAGACCAATATAATAAAAATCATATAACTATGTATGCATGCTATCCAATATGTGACATGCTCAGTATATTCAGTATCAGTACAATGAATCAGCAGTATCAAACAGTATCGTTGTCCAATTGGTAACGATAAAATCAGTGGTAGAACCAATAAAATAATACTGTAACAATAAATCAGTGCAACATAATGAATCATTTTAATAATAAGAATAATGCCTCAATAACATAAATTTCAATAACCACATTAAATAAGAAAGAAATTGTGATGTCCCATAATCTAATTTATTTAAAGAAAAGCCCGTCGACCCATCATCATGTATAGATCAATCAATCTTTAACCAACGGGTCAACTAATTTTTATTTATTTATTTCACACATATTATTATCATAATATTATAACAGTAATCTCAATCAC